AACTCAGTGAGGATTTGGGTCCTATTTGGTTGGCTTGGATTTATGTCGGTTTGTATCTGTGAAATCCAGGAGAGGAATCAGCTGGCGGGGGAGTTAGCCAACACGCCTGGAAGTATTTGTTTCCCATCTAATTTCAAATGTTTTAAATACCACTTTTAAACGCCTTCAGGCTCAGCTGTGTGCAAGCCACTTTCTCAGCTAGAGGGAACCTCCTTACCAGCAAAGGCTGGCCTTTTGTTCCCTATCCAATTGTTCGCTCCCACAAGTATTAGTTTATATTTTCTTTGGTTCCACCATCAGCAATTACTATAACCGTTCCAGTCTGTAGGAACCCATCAGTGGATAAAACAAGGAGCCCTTCCTTCATGGTGTTTATAGTCCAGGAAGAGAGACAGGCTAGGAAACTTGGAAAAATGTTCCTGGCATACCACCACCACCAACAACAACAACCAGCCATTGTCAAGAGAGATCTTTATTCACTGGCCAAAGATGTTTCTCAATTCAGAGCTGGCTGATAGTAGTGGTCATGTTTTCTGTGACCAAGTCAGGACCTTCCAAGACTCAGGATTAGGCCACGCTGCCCCCTTTTGCTAATTTCATGGTTTGATGATTGTAGTCACTGATGCTGTAGGTGACTTTAAAGAAGAATGGGCTCCAGGTCAAGTTAACCCTGTATTATCCCTTTGGACCAAAGTTTTTTTACATGGTCCCATATATCTGCACGAAACACTCTGAAGACAGAGGCAAGCCGCCTTATCCTTTCTAGTCACCCATGCAAGGCTGGAGTGAAGAGTGTTTTCAGTAGAAACAGTCTTCAGGATGTTAAAAAAAAAAAAAAAAGCCAGGCAGTGGTGGCGCACACCTTTAATCCCAGCACTTGGGAGGCAGAGGCAGGCATATTTCTGAGTTCTAGGACAGCCTGGTCTACAGAGTGAGTTCCAGGGCAGCCAGGGCTACACAGAGAAACCCTGTCTCAAAACAAAACAAAAATAATCTAGGCAACAGTTCTCAACTCACTGCTCAGGGTCAGTTGCAATCTATGGCAGAGCTACTGGGAGACCAGCACTGCATTGCTACGCTGTGTGACCTTCACAGTGAGTGGTTTTTCAGTTCACTGAGAAAGATTAAATTGGGGGAGGGGTTATTTCGGTTTTCTCCTCGGTAATATTACAGGGAGGGCCTGGCCACCCTAAACTTGTTAGAGACGATGCATACGACAGGAAAAACAATCGCATGGACTGACTGACGTGAGTGCCGAGGGCTGAACAGAAAGCAGTCAGGGTAGGTAGACCTCACAAGAGATGACCAGAGAACAAGGAGGAGGAGGGGACTCCCAGGCACAGAGAGGAGGCAAAGGGTAGAGAGAGTGTGACTCCTGCTTGAGAAACCTCAAGAGCCCTTGAATGCGGATGCGCTTTGAGAACCCAACATCCAAAGCACGCAGTGTGATGGAAGCTGTGCATCACACATCTGGGTTAGGTCCTGTCCCACACCCGGTCTCCAGCGTCTGGAGCATGGGCCTAAACTTTCTAGTAGCTTAATCCTAGCTGGTCCTAGTGTTGCACTCTTGTGTTCTTAGCATTAGGGAGAGGTCGGAGGATCAGGAGTTCAAAGTCGTCCACTGACCCATAGCAAGTTCAAGGCCAGCCAGCCTGGGCTACATGAGACTTTGTCTCAAAACAACAAAGAAAAAGCAATCTAAGTTCTCTGAGTTGGGATGTAATTCACAGAATAAACCCAAGGAATTTAAACGGATTCAGAACTAGTTTGTCTTAAAGATGCTGCTTTCTTTCTCAACAAAATGTGGCTAAACTCTCAGGTTTCAGAATCAGACCCTATGTGTGCAGGCAGCAGTGCTGAAGGACTAGAGCTGTAGGAAGGACAGGTGGGCAGGAGGAGGGCCTGACACAGCAGAGCCCACAGAGTCTGGGAACCTGTGTGGTGGCACAAGCCTTTAATCCAGCATTCAACAGTCAGGAGGACTGTGAGTTCAAGGTCAGCCTAGGATAAATACAGAGCAAGATCCTGTCTCAAAAAAAAAAAAAAAAAAAAAGAAAGAAAGAAAAAGAAAAAAGAAAAGACACAGGTGTGGAGATGAGGGCAGGGATGGCAGGGTGATGACCAAAAAGAACCCTCACTTTCCCCTGTTTTCTTGTACCTACTTATGGGCACAGATATATACTAGTAGCAACTGCAAGGAAAACCAACCACATACTGCAGGAACAGCATCTGTTCCTTTGAGCCAGTGTCTCTCACCCAACCCAGGCTGCTGACCAGCAAGCTCCAGCAATCCTTCTTGGCCCTTCTGAGGACCGGGCTTACAGGCTTGCAAGGCCACACCCAGATTTTTACTTGGCTGCTGGGGTTTTGAACTCAAGTCCTCCAGATCCCCAACCAATATTTTCAACATCTTCTGGAAAGTTTGCAAAATATTTAGAACATCTTCCACCCACCTTGGAACAGTTTGAATGCAATGTGTGGTAGACAAGCACTCTACCGCTGAGGTACAACCTTAGGTCCGTCATACCTTTGATTACAGCATTTAGCAAAGATATATTTTTACGTTTGCCTTTCCTACAAACTTCGAGGAATCCCTTGCTACAGGATAAAGGTTTTTTTCCTCCTTCTCCTCCTCCTCCTCTTCTTCCTCCTCTTCCTCTTCCTCCTCTTCCTCCTCCTCTTCCTCCTCCTCCCCTCCGCCTTCCTCCTCCTTCTTTGACACGGGTCTCACTATATAGCCATGGTTGTCCTGGAACTCATTATCTAGACCAGACTGGCCTTGAACTCAGAGAAAACCACCTACCTCTGCCTTCCGAGTGCTGGGATTAAAGGCGTGTGCCATCAGCGCCTGGCTGTTTCTTCCCCATTTTACTAAGAGCCTGGCATGCTCAACAATAAGTTTACAAAAATGCTTGGAGACCATCTGTCCCATCTGGGGACATTTTCTTCAGGGTTGTTACCCAGCTTGTGTTTGGAAATTCCTTCAGAGTCTAGTTAAGGTATTCCTTCTTAAATAATGGCAGCCCTTAGGAAAGAGTTGTAAGTCACTGGAGCTACATTTGGCAACTCTGGTGACTAATATCATCTTATTTTGTACACACACACACACACACACACACACACACACATGCACACACACACACACACACACACGGAGAATTTAATAAAGAAAATGATTTTTTCCTATGTAACTTAAAAGCCAGTTATAAATTACTTCCAACAGACTTTTTAATAATGGTATATCTTTGAAATAAGTTCATGGCCTCCCAAAGAGTGGTTGGTTGGTTTGTTTATTTTCTTTGTCTGCTTGTTTATTTGTTTATTTGGGTTTTTTTTTTTTTTTTGGTTTTTCGAGACAGAGACAGAGTTTCTCTGTATAGCCCGGGCTGTCCTGGAACTCACTCTGTAGACCAGGCTGGCCTCGAACTCAGAAATCCGCCTGCCTCTGCCTCCCAAATGCTGGGATTAAAGGCATGCGCCACCACTGCCTGGCCTGCTTGTTTGTTTGTTTGTTTGTTTAGGCAGGTTCTCTGTAGCCTTGGCTGGCTTGGAACTCAGTTTGTAAACCAGGCTGGCCTTGAATTCATAGAGATCCACCTGCATTTGTCTCTGCCTCTGCCTCCCACATGCTGGCACTAAAGGAGTGAGCCACCACTCCCAGTTTAAAGTGGTTATTTTGGAAAAGTAACATTCACTTGGAAATATTACTTTTGATATGCCTGTTACATGTGTACAAAAAAAAAAGACCAAAATAAAACAAAACAACCAACCCCCAAATCAAAACAAAGCAAAAACTCTCCTTTCAGGCCTGAGACCAGGCCCAGAGTAGAGCTCTGGTCTAGCATGCCAGAGGCTTCAGTTGCATTCCCTTGGAGGAAACAGATAAAGAGGGGAGGAAGCGGGACTAGAGGAAACTTTTAGAAGAAGTTAGATTAGATGGGGTTTTTTGTTTTGTTTTGTTTGAATAAAGGATGCAGAACAGGGACAGATGACCTAAGCCTGGACTGGGGACAGAAGCTGGAACCAGCTGGAGGGGAGGCGTTTGCTTGTTCAATGTGAATGTGGTGGCAAACCAGGAAGAGTCAATGGTCTTGAGAGATGTTTCACAGAGGTTCTGAAGAGACCAGATGGAAACGTTTCTCCCTTACATCAGAGAGCAAGCTTCCAGTGACTGTGTTTGCTGGGTTCAGGGTCACTTTGCACTGAGCATGACAACTAAACTCTGCCAGATTTCATCTCCCCAGACACTATTTTTCATGGTTCCCTGCTGACACAGTTTTTTTTGACTCAGTCTAATAGACAAGACAGACTAGTAAAAGGATATATACAATATAGCCACATGGGAAGCCATAATCAGACATGCTGGTCCTCCTTATGTCTTCCCGGTCCTTGAGCAAGGACCAAACTTAATCAGTTGGATGCAGGAAGTTCTTTGAATACACCACACTGATGAGAGTCTTGCTATAATAAGGCTTCTGGTTTCATGCATATGTATATGTGTGTAAACACACAATGGATATATATGAATGTGTGTGTGTTCCAGTCCTTTTCTTTTTTGAGGTGAAGTCTTGTGTAGCCCAGACTGACCTCCAACTCTCCAAGGACAATAAAGGAGGTTGACCTTGAACTTCTGATCCTCCCTCTTCCACCTCAGGGGCTTGACTATAGGCAGGAACTACAGCAAATCACTCCTTTTACACATCTTTATTTATAGGAGTATTTTCCAGACTGGAGAGTTGGCTGGGAGGTTACAAGCACTGGTTGCTCTTGCAGAGGACTGGAGTTGGATTCCCAGAACCACCATGGTTGTTCACCATCTATACCTCCAGTTCCAGGAGATCCAGCACTACGTCTCCACCGGCACCAGGAACACATGTGGTACACAGGCACACACACAGGGAAATCACTCATATACGTAAGTTATCATGGAAATGTAATGAAACAGTATCTCTCCAGCACTTCTTTTCCTTTTTCTCCAGCCTTTGGACTTTTCCCCAAGAATGAAAATGCTTCTGTTGGATATCTGGATGCTTCTGGCCTTGATTCCTTGTCCAGGTGAGGGTATCTAGACAAGTTCCTTTAGTCACTATGTGCCAGGACACACTTGGGTGATGACTCAGAAGGGGATGGGGTGATGGTTAATCTCAGTTGTCAACTTGATTCGATCTGGGATCTCCTAAGAGACAGACCTCTGGGCATGCCTGTGGGGGATTATTTTGATTTGGTTCATTGGAGTGGCAAGCCCCGCCCAATGTGGGTGGCAACATTCTGTAGGCTGGGAGCCTGCACTGAATAGAAAGGAGAAAATGCCCTGATGGTGGTGGTGGCACACACCGTTAATCCCAGCACTTGGGAGGCAGAGGCAGGTGGATCTCTGTGAGTTTGAGGCTAGCCTGTCTGCTGAGAGTGTTCCAGTATAACCAGAGCTGAAGGAGAAAGTGAACTGAGCTCACGCATCCGCGCTCCTGATCGGAGATGCATGTGCTGAGTTCCTCAGGTTCCTGCCTTGACTTCCCTCCTGTGATGAGAAGAAATGTTTTCTAGAAGTGTAAGCAGAAATAAAAACCTCTCTCCTACATTGCTTTTGTCGGGTTACTTTATCATGGCAACAGAGAAAGGAATTAAGATGAGACATGGGACATCTGGAGCAGGCTGACACCCCTCATCTGGACCCTTGGGAGAGACACTTAGGACACAGAATCTTTACAATTTGTTTTTTTTTTTTTTTAAAGATTTATTTATTTATTATATATGAATACACTGTAGCTGTCTTCAGACACACCAGAAGAGGGCATCAGGTTTCATTACAGATGGTTGTGAGCCACCATGTGGTTGCTGGGATTTGAACTCAGGACCTCTGGAAGTGCAGTCAGTGCTCTTAACCACTGAGCCATCTCTCCAGCCCGAATCTTTACAATTTAATTATTACTGTAGCCCAGATTAATAGAGTGTCAGAGCTTCAGAACTCTGTAAAGGGACTATGTCTTCTACCTGGCTCTCTGCTGTCCCACACTGCACTGTTTCTTCCTCTTCTCTGTCTCTCTCCCTCTCTCATACACACATAATGATAGCTGATGTAAATGCACATGTGTATACACATACACTAACAAAATTTTCAAAAACCCCTGGGGAGTTGATTTGTTTTTTGTTTGTTTGTTTTTGTTTTGAGACAGGGTTTCTCTGTGTAGCCCTGACTGTCCTGAAACTCACTCTGTAGACCAGGTTGGTCTTTAACCCACAGAAATCCTTCTCCCTCTGCCTCCCAATTCCAATTCCTGGGACTAAAGGCATACACCACAACCACACTGACAGTTTTATACAATGCTGGGGATTGAACCCAAGGCTTTGTGCATATTAAGCAAGCAATGGACCGGGTAAGCTACATCCCCAGCTCCTTTTTAATTTTCTCAAAAGTATTTGTCCTGGGGCTGGGAAGACGGTTCAGCCATTACGAGTGTGGTTGCTCTTGCAGAGGGTCTAGACTTGGTTCTCAGGAGCCGCACGGCCATTCACCATCATCCAATACTTCTGTTCCAGGAGATTCAGTCTCTTCTGATTTCCATGTGTGCTTGATGCAAAGACATAAGGCAGGGCCCTTTCACTGGGCCCCACCTTTTAAAGGGCCCCTCTCCTCCCAATAGTGCCACAGTGGGCAACAAGCTTTTAGCATATGGGCTTCTGAGGACACTTAGGATCCAAACCTTAACATAGGCTAAACTTGCAAACATTGAAACAGATTCATTTTATCAGCATCACAAAGCAAAATGGAGCAATCTCAGCGAAGAGGGAGAAAATTCTATGGGATACTCGTGAGCTTGGGAGCTACCTTGAGGCCTTTCCTTCTCTTGTCCTGTGTAGAGAAGGGTTCCCAAGAGGCTTGCTTTGTTCTCAGCATTTTCCCAGGTGTTCACTAGCTGGTACTCTGTCTGAGGAGGAGCTGCAGCCTGCAGTTTTACAATCATTCCAGGCGATTCTGGAGGAGGTAGCCCTTAACTATCATTTGAGAGAAATACTGCTTTGGAGTGGAAGAATGAAGACCCCATTAGGGTCTTTAGTGCCTGATTCCAGACCTCTATAAAGACCTCTAGAAGCTTACAAAGAATGCTTTCCAGGAGGTGACTTTTTGGAACGACTTAGATTCTGTGGCAAGATCTAGAGACGACAGGAGGGTAAGGAGTGAGGTTGGGATCAGGACTGTCCCTTTGTGATGGAAGGGCTAACTCACCGGCTCCTAAAACTTTGTTATCCTTGACAGGTTCCCTCTTCTCCAACCTAGATCGCATGACCAGAATGGCCTCTCGACACATTCTGGATCTCCTGGTCCTCACCAGCACGTTTGGCATGTGTGCTTCTTTTCAGGGACCACAGAAGAGCTGTTTCAAGTGTCTGTTCATCCAGCTCAGGCCCTGGTAGAGTTCGGACACTCCCTAACCGTCAACTGCAGTACCACCTGTCCAGACCCTGGGCCCAGTGGAATTGAGACATTCTTCAAGAAAACACAGCTAAGCAAAGGATCCCAGTGGAAAGAGTTTCTCCTGGAGGACATCACTGAGAACTCTGTGCTGCAATGCTTCTTCTCTTGTGCAGGGGTGCAGAAGGACACAGCGCTCGACATCATCATGTACCGTGAGTACTGTGGAGGGTGGAGGCCTCAGAAGAAGAGAGGAATAGGGAGGCAGGAAGGCATCCTGTTTAGGAAGAATTAGGGCAGGAAGTTTTCTTAGGGGAGAGAATTACACACACACACACACACACACACACACACACCCCAAGTAAAGATTCAACCATACTGTCAGGATTCTCTCCCTTAGTACAGGCTGCCGTCTGAGTTTACAGCATAAGCCATGGGGTATCCTTAAGAATACACAGACTATACAGGGAGTAGATGCTTAAGAATGCTAGCCTCCGAGTGGCCAGACAAGTGGAGAAATGTAAGATGAGTGCTGGCTTATTTGCTGCCAGCTCTTAGGATAACCAGGGAGTGCAAGAGGGACAGTCTTGAGCTGAGGCAGTTAGAGAAGCCTGTGGTGCAGGCCCCGCGAGGCCCTCTTTACAAAGAAGGAAAGAGGCTCTGAGGTGTTGGGACTGGTAGGCAGGTTCCTACAAGGGCCATCTAAAGGGAAGAATGACTGGGATCTCCGTGGGAAGGATGGAGTAGTTTTCATGGACTGCTAAAGACCTACTTATGCCTTTGAAACCTCTGATAAGAAATAAAATGTTTCCAAATGGCAGGAATAATCAAAGCAGAGAACTTCCTGTCACAGAAAGTAACTGTCACAGTTCCTGGCCACGGCCACCTTCGGTGGACAGAGAGCTGGAAGTCTAACTCATCCCCCAAAGCTTTAAGGGTTGCAATCCCTTTCTGCTGAGACATTTCCTTCTGGTGGTGAACGGCCCCTCATGAAGGCTTGCCTTTTTGTCTTAAAGAGCCACCAGAGCAGGTGATCCTGGACTTGCAGCCCGAGTGGGTGACTGTGGATGAAATCGCCACAGTGAAGTGTCATGTGCCCAGTGTGGCACCCCTGCAGAGCCTCACCCTGACCCTCCTCCAGGGTGACCGAGAACTGCACAGAAAAGTCTTCCTGAGTTTATCTTTGGTATCCCAAAGAGCTGAGGTCACTGTCAATGTCAGAGCCCACCGGGAGAATGACAGGCACAATTTCTCCTGCCGAGCAGAACTGGATCTGAGCCCACAAGGTGGGGGGCTGTTTCATGGCAGCTCAGCCACCAAGCAACTCCGGATCTTTGGTGAGTCAGGGTCCAGCCATGAAGGGAGCCCAGGGCCTGCTTTGTCCTTTGAGACTCTGTTTCCACAGGGTTTAGGAGTGAGGGTGACTAAACCTCACCTCTGGTTCACCATTAGCCCTGTTCCCTTCCACAGCGTCCCATGTGACACATGACTATGGCTTTCTTCCTTTCTTTTTCCCAATTACTCGGCAGAATTCTCTCAGCATCCCCAGATCGGGGTGCGTTCGCTGCTGGAAGTTGGGATGACTGAGCTTGTGAGCTGTGAGGTGACAAAGGTGTTTCCAGCCCAGGAAGCTGTCTTCCGAATATTCCTGGAAGACCAGGAGCTGAGCCCTTTCTCTTCCTGGAAGGAAGACGCAGCATGGGCCAGTGCAACCATGTGGGCCATGGAGACAGGTGACCAGGAGCTGACCTGCCTTGTGTCTCTGGGTCCCGTGGAGCAGAAAGCAAGGAAACCAGTGTATGTCTACAGTAAGTGACCCTACCCCTTCTCCACATAGGGTCTCTGCTAAGGAGAGTTTGCATAGCAATGTGTATGGGCTACGTGCAGCTATTTATGCTTGCTAACCTCTGCTGGCGTCTACTAGTGAGCATTAGCTTTCCTCTTTCTCTGGTGGAGGTGGGTTAGAGACATGACGGCGACAGCACCTCTCTGTGACCTCCACCTTCAGCTTCCAAACCTGTCCTGCCAAGAGGGAAATTGTAGATGCTGGAGCTTCATTCTAGAATAAGCATTTGAAAGGAGTAAGGAATCTGCACGATAAGGAGACATCTTGTTGTCCTCGAAGGAGAGACATAGCCTAATGTGGCCAGTATATTGTTGAAGGGAAGCTCCCAGTCCTTAAACCACATTGTTGTCCCCTCTCTTCAGCCTTTACAGAAGCAATGATGTTATCCCAAGTCTCTCCTGACATCGTCTACCCGAGGAGACCTCCAGCAAGAAGAGGAGAGACGTGCACACCAGGCTTGGAAATGTGTCCACTGTTCTTTTACGTTTCTTTGTAGGTTTCCCTCCACCCATCCTGGAGATAGAAGATGCTTACCCTCTGGCAGGGACAGACGTTAATGTGACCTGCTCAGGTCATGAGTTAACATCACCTATCCCTACTCTTCGGCTCCAGGGATCCCTAAACCTCTCTGCTCCCGGGGAGCCTGCCTGGCTTCTGTTTACTGCCAGGGAGGAAGATGATGGCCGGACTCTCTCCTGTGAGGCCTCTTTGGAGGTACGGGGCCAGCGACTGGTCAAAACCACTGAGATCCAGCTTCATGTCTTATGTGAGTAGAGGCCTATCCCCCTGGACAAACTCGAGATACTTAGTTCCCTTTCCAGAGATGTTGGCTAGTAGCTTTGTTAGTAGAGGGGCCACACTTTTCTAGTTGAGAAAACCCAGAGAAGAAAACAAAATGAACTGTCACCAAGCTTGTCTTGCCCTCAGGAAAGTGAGTGAGAGCAAGATGGGAGAGGCAGCCCAGAAAGGCAAGGGCCTCCTGTCGTCAGACACTGTTAGTCAGCGGCTGGGAGATGTAACAGAGGAGGGGACAGCCGAGGCTACCGCTAAGAAGAAAAACTGCCAGAATTCCAGATCAAGATTTGTGTTTTGGAAACTGAGAAAATCCTTATTTCTGAGCTCACCCTTGCCCAATGAGAACCTAAAATGGAAAAGTCCCCTGGGTCTCACCAACAAGGCTGCGTTATCACCTAGCCTGAGTCCACAGAAATGCCCTAGGCTGCAAGGGATAAGAGGCTTTGGTTTAGGCAGGAAGCTGATTCTCTTCTCCATGAAAAGGAAAGTGTTGGGTTAAGGGAGCAGGTTTTGAGTTGATGGGGATGGGAACTGTGAAAGGAAGTGAGAAGGGAACAGGACATAGAACTGGGCTCCTGGCGGGGCTGTCTTGCAGACAAGCCAAGGTTTCAGGAATCCGGCTGTCCTGGCAACCAGATATGGGAAGAAGGGATGGATCAGATGCTTGCCTGCATCCCAGAGGGAAACCCCATCCCGGCTTTGGTGTGTACCTGGAATGGGATGATCTTTGACCTTGATGTACCTCAGAAGGCCACCCAGAACCACACGGGAACCTACTGCTGCACAGCAACCAACCCACTAGGCTCTGTCAGCAAAGACATTGCTGTCATTGTCCAAGGTACCTACTACACTAGCTGCCTGGCTGGGATAGAGTGGCACCCCAGGGGTTTAGGATTCTCACACAAGCATGGAGGGAAGAGAGATGTTCAGGGGCTGGAAAACACGGGACGTGGGGACGTGGGGTTGGTGGCTTGGGGCAGAATGATTTTCTTGTCCTCAACCCGCTTTCCCGACCTATGTCTTCTGTGCTACACAGGCCTGCATGAGGGGATCAGCTCCTCCACCATCTTCATCATCATCGTCTTCAGCCTGGGCATGGCTGTGATCACCATAGCAGCATATCTGAACTACCACCCCTGCAAGAGAGGCAGTAGGAAACGGACAGACAGGCAGAAAGAGCAGAACAAAGGCGAGGAGAGCCGGTTCTCGGATATACAGGCTGAGGAGTGCAAAGCACACGCGCATCTCTGCTGACCACAAACAGCCCTTTGCTTGAGTGTGACCTCAGCTACCAGGGTTTACAGGAACGCAAGAGTGGGCCAAGGAGGAAAGAGGAGACAATGTGAGGCCTCATTTCCTTACATTCTGTTGTCCCCCAAAGCCGGGTTTCAGGGCCCCACGTGGCTTGCATCCAGTCCATCTGGCGCTCTTTTCTCTTTTGAGTTTATTCCAGTTTGTTAGATATTTCAGTCTGCTTGTTCCATCTGCTGAGGGATCCTCTCACTCCATGTTTAACTAGTCTAGTCTCAGGCACACAGAAGGCCCTGCCCTTGCGCCTCATTCCCACTGCCCACCTCTCAAACAGCAAGGGAGAAGGGTCATCAGAAATATCCTGGAGCGCATTGCTCAGGGTTTCCAGATGACTTCATAGTTCAGGGACAAGACTTCATAGGATAGGTAGCAAACCAAATAGGCAGGAATTAGAACTCTTCCCCTGTCCATACTCCCCTGCTCCCCAGACTGTGCCCACTGACATCATGAAGGGCACTGGCTGGTTATGCTTCACCCTAGTAACCCTCTGCAATTTCATTTGGGACCAATGACATTGCTTACCTAGTTTTCTAACAAAACAAAAACCCCAGGACTTACTATGCAGCACAAGATGGCCTCAAACTTGTGATCCCCTAGCCTCAGCCTGCTGAGTGCTGAGACTACAGGTATGTACCATCATACCCTAACTAACTTTTGGAGGGCAGCTTTAAAGTGGAAGATAGACTACTTCCATGAAATTGGCCTTAGGGCGCCACACTCTGAATTCCTTTCTGTTAGAGGCAGAGTCCCAGGTTTACTCTCCCTCTCCACAAGAATTGCCTGTTTTTGTCACCTGAGATGGAAGGATACAACCCCACGGCAGTGTGCTTAACACACAGATGGGTCTCTGTTCTGTCACCAGAATCTCTGTGACTGGGTCACCCTGCGCTCAGCTTCCTCCATGGTCCTTTGGAAGGACAGTGTCTGCCTAGGTGAAGGCTTGAAGAACATCAAGCCAGGTCTTTGCTCCAGAGCTGTCATGAAATGTCTACTGAGATGTTAGCTGTGGCAAAATAAAACAGGCTTTGTGAAATCTGAGTTTCTTCTCTCACTGTCATAAGTGAAGCTTTTGTTATGTTAAACCAAATGGTTGCATTTCAGAACTTTGAGGATAGCTTCCAGTTGGTAACATGAGCAGCCAGCCTACGGCTAGCAATGTCTCAGCTCCAGTCAGCAGCCAGTTTTTCCTGCTCTCAAAACCAAAGCTCACACTCATAACCAGTTTCCACCTTACAGTTAGCTAGAAACAAAGCAGTATCATATACCAAAGGGCGTCTCCCTTTTTTCCTGGACCATCCTGAATTTGAGGTTAAGGAATTGGTATAAAAATTATCCTTTGGTTTCACTGTACAAAACAACAGAGGCCCTGTGGTAAACTGTTGTCTTTGCTTCTACAAACCTAAACTCTGCGAGGAATGTGCTTAATTTCCATTACTGTGACTCACGTACTCTTCTGTGGTAGGTCAATCCACAAGAAAGAGTGATTGCCTCTATAGTTTCAAGTCTTCGACTTGTTTGGGCTTGTGTAGAGGCAGCATATGGTGGTGAGAGCACAGAGGAGGCCTTCCACGCCATGGAAGCAGGAAGCAAAAAGAGAAATGTGAAAGGGCCAGAATTCTAGGAATCACCTTGGGACATTTCACTAGGCGCCATCTTGTTTCATGGCCTCCCAATTGTGCCATGGTCTGGGAGCCCTTAAGACATGTGCCTTAGGGGGACCCAAATTCAAAATTGAAGGCACATTCATTTCTATGACCAGAAATGTGTAGTTTGTTTAGAGAAAGTCTAACTCAGGACATAGAACGTATTTCAAGTTTGTAAGTCAGTATTCCCTGAAAGGCCTTCCCACACAGAATTTGGTAGTTCCTCTCAAACAAAGTCATCTTCTCAAGGTAAGCATGTGGGAAAGTACGTTAGGAAGCAGATTTAAGACAGATACACAGCCGGGCGGTGGTGGCGCACGCCTTTAATCCCAGCACTTGGGAGACAGAGGCAGGTGGATTTCTGAGTTCGAGAGTTCAAGGCTAGCCTGGTCTACAAAGTGAGTTCCAGGACAACTAGGGCTACACAGAGAAACCCTGTCTCGAAAAACAAAACAAAACAAAAAAGACAGATACACAGACCGTCTGAATCTAGGGACCGAAGCCATCTTACTGTCTTAGATTAGCTGCACCAGGCCTGGTCAGCATCAGTCACATTTGCAAATGCCACCTAGGAAATGCTAAGGCACATGAGCCTAATCATTGATGATGTCATTGGCTTCCTAGGCCCAGCAAGGGGAGCTAGTGGATTAGATGCTGTGATTTCTCACTGCCACTTGGTGCCACTATTAGCAGATGGCCCTGCTAGGTCCCTGTTGGGTTAGCTGCCGTGGATCTCAGATGATCCTTCTGACTCCTGCCCCGCTTTCCATGGTTACATCTCTCATAGGTTTTGTGTGTTGACACAAACTAGAGTCATCACAGAGAAAGAATCCTCAGTTGAGGAAATGCCTCCATGAGACCCAACTGTAGAGCATTTGCTCAATTAACAACAGGGGAGAGCCCAGCCCATTGTGGGTGGCGCCATCCCTGGGCTGGTGGTCCTGGATTCTATAAGAAAGAAAGCTGAGCAAGCCATAAGGAGCAAGCCAGTAAGCAGCACCCCTCCATGGCCTCTGCATCAGCTTCAGGTTCCTGACCTGCTTGAGTTCCTGTCCTGACTTCCTCCATGATGGACTATTACTTGGAAGTATAAGGCAAATAAACCCCAACTTGCTTTTAGGTCTTGGTGTTTTGCCACATCAATAGAAATCCTAACTAAGGCAGTGCGTATCTGTGTGTCTCTTTCATAGTTACACCTTTTGTTTTTGATTCTGAGACAGAGTCTCTCTATGTAAGCCAGGATGGCCTGTAACTTGCTATGTAGACTATACTGGCCTTGAATACATAAAATATCTACCTGTCTCTGACTTCTCAGTATTGATATTAAAGGTATGTGCCACCATGCCTGAAACATAAGCCTAAGACTTTGAACACCCCCAAAGACAATTCTTAACAATATTGGCACTATTCCTTCCAAGACAGAAGACAGGAAAAAAAATTCTACTAGAACTCCATTTCATAGTAAACTCTCAAGCTTGGGACCAGGAGATCCCTGGAAAGGATGGGGAGACATATATATTCTCAATTTAACTGTCAAACCTTGACACAACTTAAAGTCACTTGAGAAGAGAGGCACAATTGAGAAGTTTTCCCAGTTAGGTTGTCCCGTGGCCTGCCTTGGGGGTGGGGCTTATTTATGTACTAATGTAGGAAGACCCATCCCACCATGGGTGGTGCTATCTCCTGGGAAGGTGATCCACATAAGAAAACGGTCTAAACCCGAGTCTGAGAGCAAACCAGCAAGGAACATTCCTTCATGGTTTTTCTGAGTTTCTGCCCTGACCTCCCTCAATAATGGACTGAATGAAACCTATGTGCTGAAAGACTCCCTTTCCTCCCTGAGTCACTTTTTGTCAGAGTTTTATCACGGCAACAAAATGAAACTACAACACCAGCAACTGAAAACTCACCACTGACCATTGGGCTAGGCTAGGAGTAGATCCTGTCTATCTCTTAGCCAAAGGGGCGGGGACACGTGGGGAGGGGGCTTCTACACGAGAGCTGTAGCACTTGTATTAACTATTCAGGACAAACTAAAGAAGATATGGGAAGACTACAACTAGGCTAAACGGCTTCATGCCTTAGGAAAGGAGAACTCACCTGCTAGTACAATTCAAAAGGCCATTAATTACTCTCCTTAATCTGTCACTTAACCATGTTTTTAAAATGTGTGTGTGTGTGTGTGTGTGTGTGTGTGTGTGTGTGTGTGTGTGTGTGT